ACGCGTCTTACATAAGAATTTTGTACCTTTTATACGACAAACTCGCGTCTTACCTAAGTCGCGTCTTATGTAAGTCGCGTCTTATTTTGTTCCGTATAAATGGCCCTAATGTAGGCCACAGAAAATGTTACATCAACCGCTCTAAATGAGCTCATGGAGTAATTAAAAGAATGTAAAGGTATTATACTATCATGTCAACTATATTTTATTGTTAAAATGTATTTATTTGACTAATTTAAGAATGTTTTTAAAATAGTTTTGGTTGACTATAAATTTGTTTATAAAAACCGTTAAAAACCCGCAACACCTGATCATTCATTCTGAGAGTATAGTGTCATCATGGTTTGGAGAAGGCTCTGAAAACTACACTAATTTCACATGATAAACATAATGCAATAACTTTGGGAGCTCATTACGCAATGGTGCGAGGCAACCACAACTATTACAAATTCCTTGGCCACAGCTTGAAATTTCCTCAGAAATTCTCCAAAATTCCCTAACTCGCTTCACACTTATTAATTTCACATATCAGTTCACAAATCAATTATTTGGAAAACATACGATTTTCAAGCTATTAATCTAATTGCTTTATATCTGAAGTATATAAACCAGTGTTAATAAATCAAACTAAGATCGTTCTTATTCAAATCTCTAAACAAAATCCTGTAAACTCACAATTCACCTTTTAAAACTATGTAAAATTCCTCTTTTCAAGGAAAAATCTTCAGGTGGCTAGGCTGCTATTGTTTGATTCCAAGAAAACGAATGCTTTTCACCGGAAACAGGATGTGTACAATGTAGAATCATAACAAAACAGATCGCGTTTAAAAGTCGAACAATATGTCTTAAAAGAGGTGATTGACAAACATATTATATATCATTTTACTGACACATCGTAAAGTAAGCCACAAATACTGACGGTATTAAAAGAAGAGTCGGTGAGAAAAGCGATTGGCGCTTTCATTCGTGGCTGTTTGTGACAATACAATGGAGTCAATAAAGCTATTCCTCAAAGAGGTTACAGAAGAGTTGCTGTACAATATCGTGTATGATGAGAATGAGATCGACTATCGCAACTTAAGCATGATTTTCGAGCAGAAAACTGGCTATCAACCCATGGATTTTTTTGGTTTCGGTAATCAAACCGGTAGCGGATGGATGCAATTCATAAGAGGAATACCCGGTGTGCAAGGCAAAAAGAATATATGTATTGAGGATAGCACCGATGTCTATGACGACAGCAACTCTGATGACAGTGAGGACAAAGACCAAGTTTACAAAGTATTTAACAGCACAAACTTGTACGTAGCAACAGTGAGCTTTTCCGAAGTTGAAGTCTCCGTCGCAGAATATCGAGAGATGATTTTGATTAAATGTTGTGAGATGATGGAAGATAACTTCGCTGACTTGAGCAGTTGCAAGGACGCGAGCGGTAATACACCATTACATCTTATCGCGGCCCTACCTGGTATCGCTTTTGACTGTGACACTTTAGTGAAATATTTGTTGCAAGCTGGCGTCGATCCACTAGCAGCCAACAACGACGGGCAAACTTTTCTGCATATAATTTTTGGTAGATTTCAAGCACAAAACGTCGCACTATGGTTTACGAATGAACGCCTTGCTAAAACAAAATGGTTTGTCAAGGACAGAGTCGAGCTACTAGAACTGCTTTCCCAAGAATTATCACCGACATACACTACTCTGTTGGCAAAGGCACAAGACAACTATGGCAACACGGTGCTACATGAATACGCACTGTCTACAACAGTGGAACACGAATTCGTTGTAGACAAAATGTGCAAAAAATTACTAAAGTTTGGTGCAAGTTTGAGAGTTACAAACAACTCTGGCAATGTTCCACTTCATTACGCTTATACTCCCGAACTGTTCAAGATCTTTCTTCAGAATGGCGCTGTTTGTCGGGCAAGAAATGATCGCGATGAATCACCAGTTTTGTTTATCTTGAAAATGTCGGCCGACTTTGCGTTCGCTCAAACCTCTGCGACTGCAGAACTGGCGGATCAGGCTTTTGTGAAAACAAGCAGTACCAGATCTGTTCCAGGAGCTGTAAAACTACTGAAAAATCTAAAGAGTATAGTTTCACAAAACAAAGATGCCATGGAAACGGTTTGGATTCCTGACGTAAAGGGCAACGTCCCAATCGATACAGTGCTGATCGCTATACGAATTGGATCTTATGATTTGGGCAGAATTGGATCTTTTATAAATGTGCTGATGGCTGAACTTTGCCCATCTTTGGTAAAATTATTAAGTGAAATGCTACGCAATGCAACAACAAGTGACATGAAACGACAAAACAAGAAAGGTCAAAGTTTTCTCCACGTGCTACTCGACATGGGCGATGACAACAAACACACGATAATTAGCGAAAACTACATATGTCAGAGCGTGGAAATACTTCTGGAGCACGGCGTGGATGTAAACACAGTTGATTCAGAGGGACGTACCCCTCTAGACATTGCACACAAGCATCGCAACAAACGACCATCGCTTTACCAGAAATGCGCCGACTTGCTAATTAAGCACGGAGCTAATGGAAAACGTGATAAAAGGAACATTTCCTCTTTACCTTCACCTTCGACACCATCTCCATCTATTTTCGAACGAATATTCAATTTACGTATTCACAACGTCCGAAAGCTACGATCGTGTCCGACGCGTCATTTGAACAACGCAAAGCGTTTAACTACTGCTCCTGCTACCGAGGTCACTGTCGTAGGAAAGTACCGTTATTCCAATCAAGACTTGATTGGATCTGGCGGATTCAGTTCAATCTTTCTAGCAATTAAAGACGAGAACGTTGACAGCGGGTCTGGGACAATCGAATGTCGAGCTTACGCCTTGAAACGAATGGAGAAAGCAAAGATGAACCCCAAAGAGATCAAACGAGAAATTACGACCTTGCTTTCTATATCTGGCAAGTGTGAGAGTATCATCAAATGCCACGAACCTGTCGAAGACAAGAACTTTCAGTACCTCTGTCTTGATCTCATGGACGGTGATCTCAATGAGTTTGT